GGTGCTAAATGGTAAAAGATTGAAACATAGTACTAGTAATGGTGGATGAGTTTCTTGTTGACTTACGTGTTTCATCCCTTTTCATTCCGTATGGGGAAACTGTTTTGCAGGTTGGTGATGAAATTTTGGATGTGTTGAATGAAAGTAAGGACGATTCCACGATATTGCATCGTGACACCCTTCTGGCCGAAATAAAGCTGAAACTGCAACGGATGACGATTCGATTCATAGATGATTTCGAAGTAAGTTTGCAAAAAGGTTTATGCAGGTCGTCAGGGATTTTTCTGGACACGCTAAAAAATTTAATGAATTAAAAAAATTGTTCTGCTGACGATGCTGACGTCCCTTTCGTCTTTTGAACGAAAGGGACCTCAGTATCGTCACCATTGTCCACGTTTCTTTCAGCAAAAGCACTTAGCATGGATTAACCACTGCCTTACAGGTAAATCTCAAAATACTTTGCCTTGACAAATTTTTCGAACATTTTAAAATATGGAACAAGCGAATAACCCAGCTGTTAGAAATTTGAATTTGAACCGTAACGTTTAGATTTTAAAATATCCACAAAAAGTACCACGGACAAGTGAAAAATCGAAAATTACAATGATTTTCAAAGCAAAATTAAAAAATTTGCCTGAAAGCGATGAAAAAATTGGCAAAAATCTCGAAAAAACTAGTTGCAGAAAAACAATTTTTTAAGTGGTCTTATTCCATGTTACTTCAGATTTGTAAGAGCGCAAATACGCGAGTGCTAGCAGTGGATTTATGGTGGCTCGCAAGTTGTATTCACTTGAGCCCACGACGCCATAGCACTGCTGTATCGCTCAGCGTCACCGATATGAGCTTGCAGAGGCTATGCACTGTTACAGCGGAAGATGATGAAGTCGATAAAACTCAAGAAGGTCGGATATTGAAATTTTGTGACGGACTTCTTTTTTTTACAGCTTACTCAGTTTTTTACATTTTAAGACATCATTTCATTGTAGCTTCGTCTGCGCCTTAAATCGGTGATAAAGACAGTGTACAGCCTTGTAGGCTCAATGTTTTTAGATGAAGCAGATCAGCAGGGTGCGGAGTCGTTGATTTTCGGGTTTGGAAGCGTCAAAGAAACGACGCAAGTTCTGTTCGCAATTGGGAAAGCAGGGAAGAGCGAAGACGCACCTGAAAGAAAGAAGAGTCGTGTGGAAAAAGCGCTTTTCCGGTAAAATACTCTCAACTGACATAAACCAAATTGCATAACGAACGAATGATGATTTGCTAAAAAACGAAGTTCGTAATAACTAACCGATGGTAGTATTAAAGTCGAAGTCAAAACTTGCTCAGTATTCATCTTTTGTGAGTGGTGAAAGCACACGGACTTAGCCAGAACGGTCACTGGCAAAGCTGTCGATGGCTCTCTCTTTCAAAGATTGCTTAAAAGCAAGCTGATGGCGCTTTTATTTCTTTCGCACAAACCATTAGTAACTTACCATCGAAACAATTGAACGAATCATAGAGTGCCTCACTGATAAGGTTGGATCCATAACCTTGCGCACACAGCAGCATTACTTCCCACTGCACCGTGCTTGTCACTGGTAGATGCAATATATTTTTTAGTAACAGCACCGGTGGTAATAAAGACGATAGTGACGTTAACAGTCAAACCATTGGCACTAATAAATAAGTATAGTGCTAGTAATAATAACTTCAAGTAGTAGTAGTAGTAGTAGTAGTAGTAGTAGTAGTAGTAGTAGTAGTAGTAGTAGTAGTA